TTATGGTATTTTATTAGAGACCCCTGAACGCCGTGAGACACATTTGAAATTTAGTTCAGTTTTTCTACTCTTGTGATTTCTGTCCATTCTGAATTTGGCTGAAAAATCTAATTTCACATTATTTTCTACATCTTTAAGAATCTTTCTTTAACGTGCAACTAATGTAAACTGTATGCTTCCCATACTAATAAACTGACATTCAGTGAATGTAATAGTTATTAAACAAAATTTTCAGATTTGAAATTATTCTTTTTAAAACATCAGGCTTGGGGGCTGGGGATTTAGCTCAGCGGCATAAGTGCCTGCCTTATAAGCAGGCAGTTGTGAGTTTGATCCCTGGTACCGATAAAAAGGAAAAAGACAAACAAAACAAAACAAAACAAAATAAAACAAAAAGCATCAGGCTTATTTTAAAAAGCAAAATTCACAGGTATTAGAAATTGCAAAAGTTCTCATTATAAAATAGATGAAATATAGCTTTCATAGTTACAGTGTCAGAAAGTAAATGGACATAAAAATGTTGTAACAAAAATAAAATACTAAAATTCTGGTGCAGGCAGCATACATTTATGACATAAATTAATAAAGGTCCCCAAATATGCTATTAAGTTTTGAAACTGCTGGAACTTTTTACCTATAGAAGTCAGAGAACACTGTTCTACCCAGAGTGCTAGTGAACTTTTGTGTTATTATTATTATTAAGGGGCACATCTTCAGATGAATGATTTTATGGTGAATGGCAGACAACTGTTCCTGTTCAATCTATATTTCTTTCCACTAAAAACATACGTACTCTATGACACCATCTAGTTTAGCAGACTTCAGTGATTTCCTAACCCACTGACTGTGAAGATACTTTCTTGGAAACAATCATAAAATAGATGGAGAGCAAATTGAGACATTCTGGGTATTCTTCCCAATATCATGTCCAGCATGGATATCAGACAAATAGAAGTCTGTAAATAATAGATATGTGCATTTAGCATAAGACAAAATATCCACAATGGCTCTTTTATTGTTGCATCATAAATAAATGTTACAATGATCATGGAATGACGGTAACTGAATGAACAGCAGTGTACACTATATGCTTCCCACACTAATAAATTGATGTTCAGATCTCTCAAAAAACATAAAATTTTGTGTATCTTTCCCCAGAAATGTAAGCTATCATCTAAGTTATTTCTTTTGTTTGAACAATAAGAAAAATGAATGACCTGCCTATCTATTTGCCCTCTTGGGGATGGAAAATTGTAGGAATGCAAAATATTGGTGATTTTATTGGCAAAAAGACAAATAAAAGACCTTTTTATTTTCACCAAAGGCTTGGAAGATATTTTAATTCTGGTCCTTTGCGATACCATCATTGCAATCACAGCACTAATAATTAATATGAAAAGTCTCTGATAATTGCATTTCTATTAGAAGACAGAGTATTTTTGGTCCCCATTGTGCCACCTTGTGGTCACAAAAGAACACAATTTTTTGTTTTGCTTTGCTTTGTTTCTTTTCTTTTTAAATTTGGGGGAAAATAAACCTATTAAATTTTTATTTTGCTTTCACTGATACAGAATAATATTGGGAAGAACAACTTGGAGAGTATTTTAGCAAAAATACCTCTGCACAAAACATCATGGGAACCATTGAATTTATAAATGGCATACATTCAAAACCAACAGTTGACACTGGTCTAAGAATGGGTAGTAGATACCGAATCTTCACTTATTCCACAGAGAGTCTACGTTTATAAGATACAGTTGGAGCTAATGTAGGTTGACATTATTTATCTATCAGTTTGCCCATGGATGTCTGGAGAATGTCCATTGAGAATCTAATAAATAGTTCAGCAATCTATCACAAGAGAATGAAGCCATAATTTAGATATGAATTTTCAGTATTATATTAAAATAATCATGTAAATATGACAATTTCTTAATATGCAAAATTTTAATACATCATTAAATATTTACTTTGTAAATGTATATAGACTAATTATATAATTTTACACATTTCAAAGCACCGTAATATTTATTTGAAGGATTTTTCTGCTTTCTTCAACCCACTTGGGTCAGTATCTGGACAGGAAGAACAAAAAAGATGTGTTTAGTCAACTTCCCACAGAGAACTATATACAGAGCTAAATAAAACATTTTGTTAACAAATAAAAAATTAAAAACTTTGTGGGCAATACAAGGAACAACATTGTCATTTTAAACCATGGAATTGCTTTTAACTAGCATCTCTCATTTTCTCTCCCTTCTTTCCTTCCTTTCTTCCTTGCTTCCTTCCATCTTTCCTTTCTGTCCAACGTTAAAAGTAATACAGTCAGTAGACTGTAAATTTTTAGTCACAGTACTTGATTTTTAAACTATGTTGAGTACTTGCCATCTCTGTGTTATTCCTACACACTATAAGGGTAATAATGTCTTTGTAGAAAAAAATTCTTTGCATTCATTGAACAGGTGGGAGAGACAAAAAGGAAAGAAACAAATACACAATTTAATGTTATGAATTGTGAAAGAATTTGGAAAAAAATATGAATTTACCCATGCATATATTGACAGGCTCAGACAGAATAGAGAGAGTAAACCATGTAGATCCCTGAAAAAAGAGAGTTCCAAACCAGTGCTTGTGCCCGAAGCAGGATTTGAGGATTTGATGGAGTAGCAAAATTTCAGTTTGGAGGAGGGCATGGTTCAGATACCTATTTGACATTCACGTGAGAACTTTAGCTGCTGAAACTGTGGACTTGAAAGCCATCTTCCTAAGCTACAGTTTTTAAAATGCAGGCTTTTACGTGATCTCCAAGGAATGGAATGGAGGGGAATCATAATACTGGACAGACCCAGAAAGAGAGAAGCCAGATGGCCTTTCCTGTGCACCTCGCGGACCGTGCGGGGGCCCAGGAAAAGAGAAGCCGGTCCGCTGCTCGGTGAGCCAGCAGAGGATACGCTGGCTCTGGGAAGAGCACGTCAAGAAGCTAGTTTGATTTTCCTGTAAGTTGCGCAAACCAGGCGGAGCCCAGGAAGAGCAAAGCCAGACTGCCTTTCCCGTGAGCCCACCAACACAAGGGCTGAGAAATCAAGATTACTACCCCCTCAGCCCCATTAAACAACCAGCTGGTTCGCGGGACAAGCTGAGTTGATAGCAACCAACGTTAAAAGCAACTAAATGCTTGTATTGTTTGACTGACTTTGCAGGGCTGAGCCTGTAGTCTAAGCATCTATTAGGAGGATGACAGTATGCAGTGTGGTACGTATAGGGGTTTTAGTTTTGGAATTCAGTATTATTTTTACTATTTGGTTTTGTTCCGATTTGTTGTTTTGTTTTATTCAATCCTCTGTTTTGATTGGTTTTATTCTGTTTTGTTTTATTGGATTTTACTGTCTGATGAAATGGACAACCAGTGTGAAGATAACAAGATACATTATGGTAACCACTGGTGATGACCTATTGTCCTGTTTTGATGTTATGTACCACTTTCACCGCTTTGCTTTGATTGACTTTATTCTGTTTTGTATTGTTGAGTTTTATTCTCCCTGGGGGGTGGGGGGGAAAAGTACTAGATGGAGCCAGGCCACCCCACCACTAGAGGGGCTGAGACATAGGGGAGCTTATTAAAGGTACCTGAGATGGAGCAGTCCAGGGATTTGAAAGAAGACAGAAAGCAACTGTTACTTAAAAACCCATGAAGAATGTGACCCAATCAGAGATTGTCAGTGCCGGAAAAAAGTCTTGAAGGCGTTGTAAAGAGAACCTAAGGTAAATGCCTGACTGAAGGGGGCTTGCTGGAGAATGAGATTTGAGAAAGCAGATAATTTTTGAAAAATGGTGGTATAAAGAGGAAAAGCTACAGATAAAATCAAAGGCAGCTTTCCTCCCCCCCCACCCCTTTTGGTAGTGGGAGGTAGTTCAGTATGTTTATGAACAGATGGGAATGATCCCTCTCTAAGGAAAAAATAGATGATGTAGGAGAGGGAGGATAATTAAAGAAGTAAAGCCCTTGAATACATGAGAAGAGATGGACCTAGTATGGAGGCGCAGGGAGCACTCCCATGTCATCTTAGTGGCAGACACAGCCAGGAAATAGCACACACAGGTAGAGATAGATAGGTGGAGTGAAAGGGGAAGTTGTTCTCTTTGCTGCCACTTTCAGTATAAGAAATCACATAACCAGATGAGGGTGCAGGTTATTCACGGGAGCTGGGTGAAGGCAGACAAGGTTTAAGTACTCTTCCCAGACCCTTCTGACTAGGAAAATACATTACGATTGAGTATAGTGGATAGTCAGGCAGTCGTAAAGTCCCTTTCTAGGTTTGGGACCATGCTTTTTAAAATAACATTAGCTAATGTGACTATATTCTTTTCTTATCTATAACATTTGTTATAATTTAGTTTCCAAGAATTGATCAGTTGAAGAAAGAATGTAGCTTTCCAAATGAATGTTTTATTTTTATGAATGGTGCACACATTTGCATTTCAATAAAAGAGAACTAATTTTATCAGCTACTGAAACACAAACTGTGAAGATCTGCAAATAAATGGCTAAATCACAATTTGTCTCAAAGGTGCAGCGTAAGATTTAAGTATCCCGAAGATTAAGACACAGACTGCCAGGTGTCACTTCTCTAGCCCTCTCTGTGTGGTCATACGTTACAGCCAACAGCTGAGGGTGCAGTGTTAGGGTTCTACCAAAACAACCATCCTAGTCCAAGCTTTTTAATATACTATATAGTTTGGGCTAACATAAGCTTTTTTGGTTAAAAAAATATAATAAAATGGTTTAAGTATGGAAGATATGAGCTGGAGAAGCATGAGTTAGTTTGTTTACACTGGAATTATTTAACAGCAGGTACTTGGCTAGAGTAGACGGTGGCTACGGCTAAATAGCAATCAACTGGCAAACAAAATTTGCAATGAATATTTGCTTGTCTTCATAATAATCAAACTTATTTTGTCTCCAATGATTTTTTTTCATATGTACAGTGTCAAAATTATAATTTGTGTATAATGTCAAAATGTGTCTTATGGCCCCCATTTACTATTGTCATTTCTTTATCAACAGACGGTTTCTTGCATTCAGTTTTGCAGGGAAGAGAGAGAGAGAAAACAAATCTTAGTGATTTTGATAATGCCTTTATTTGGGAAACATAGTTTGATATACAAATTCTTTTTAAAATTTAATTTTAAATTTACTCTTCATGGGTCTAGGGGTGTACCTCAGTGGCAACTGCCTGGCAAGGCGAGGTTGTGAGTTTGATCCTCTGCAAAAAACAACAAAAAAAACCTTACTCTTCATGATTTAAATACTCACTATTATATAACACAGAGGTAAGAAATGTTAAAATCTTACAGGATTATTTCCAAAAAATCCACCGAAGGTCAAAAAAGGTTGACTTTTCTTTGAAAGTGTAATAAAATAAAAAGAGAGTGACGGATTCCACACAAATAAGTCTTTTAATAAATATTTTTAAAGATGTGTTTGAGTGTATATTATGGCACTGATTGCAGTGACTGTGCTAATGAATAATCCATTTATTTTAAGAGTATTGAAAAACAGGCCCATATGACATAAATGAAACTCTAATATGTAGCATCCTGTGGCTGTCCTAAATTCAACTGCAATATATAAATGAGCGATGTACTTATATTTAGTTGGTAGCAAAATTATTGTTATAACAGGGTAGCTACCCTAAATCACTGCTTTTGTTGAATATCATAACATGACCACAAGAAAGAGGCTCAAAAAAACTTGTTCCTATTGCTATTTACAAATACTGATAAAAGAAACATTCTTGAAAATTTCAAATAGTCTCTTCTTGGTTCTCTATCATTTGCAATGAGCACTCTCAGTCTACTTAGTTTTCCAGAAACTGGTATGAAGGAAATGTAACTGCTTGTTAAGAACATTGTATTGAAAAAATCAGAAAATACCACTGTTTTTAAATTCATGTCCAGTGATGGACCATGATGATTTTCAGTTTACCATCTGTCCTGAAAACAACAGTGATAATGGTGATAATATTACTAACAGTGGTAGCAGAATCTTTGGCTCAATCCTCAGAGATCATCACATTAAACTAAGTATGGATAACAAACAGAAGAAAGTACAGAACGACAGCATGGTGAGTGTCACACGACTATAACACCCAAGTCGTGGAGGATGAAGTGTAGCTCATGGCTACCTGTTTGTCTATGATGACCACTTAAATTATGTGACTCTCAGGGGACTTATATTCATATAGAAGTTTCAAAAGTTGATCTAACAACTTTATGTCTAACAGACCAAATGGCATTGAGGAAAATTTCTACCATTTTAGTTGGTGCCAAGGAAAACACAGAACTCTGGGGGAAGGGTTCATAAGAAAGATCTCCCTCCACTTTGCTCCCATGTTTGTAAAACAAATAAAACAAAATGAAACAAAACACAAATCAGGAGAAGGGGAGCAAATGAATTTATTCATGGATCTTTGGTATATATTTAATTTTAAGGATAATCAAATCTCTTTAAAATTTTGACTATAAAGAATTTAGAAGACTCACATCATGTTTGTGGTAATTAGAATGTTTTGTTCCATTTTATTAGATACTAAAATTCAAGAATGAATCAAATCAACGGGCTTCTTTTATTTCTTTTCAATGTCTGATGAGTTTTTCTCCTAAGTTTTCCCATGAGATGCAGTAAGTTACGACTTCTAAAATCCATCTGTCTTCATTTGATTTTCACCCTCTGTTCTTTTTTCTCCTGGAAGCAGCTCTGAAATTTGGACCACATGCACTGCATGAATAGGTAACTTTCCTCTATGACACTATAGTCATTATGTAACGACCTAAATGTTAGCAAAATAGAAAATCAATGTCTCGTAACAAATCAATTTTCATGAAGATTTTCATGATCTGACTGTAAATCTAGCTATTTCATACCATTAATAGTAGAACTGCAAATCTAGTACAGGAGAGTTAATGATCAGATGAATTCATTTCTCTTGCTTTTAATGAAAATATTCAAATGAACAGGAGCCAAAAGCTCTGTTTACTGAGTAGTAAGGCTTTGGTGTTAAAACAAACTGACAATTTAACTTACTAAAATAATTTAGTTGAATTTGTAACTTAGATATATTGGAGACAATTCAGGGAAAATCAAACTTCTATCAACTTTTAGGAATTTCCGGAAAGAACAAGTCTTTGATAACTTTGCAGTTAGGTTCATAGAGGCAGTTTTGCTTGAATTTGTCTTCTGCAAAAGAGTTCCTGAAAATGGGAATGAAAACATACATTCTACTTATCCAGTAAGAGAATTTCCCTCAGCTTTGCCCACTAAGGAATTCATATTGACTAAGAACTATTTCTATATTCACTTATTTAATAAAGAATAAAATATTATACAAATAACTTAGTTTTATTTTTTTATCCTAATGAGTAGAGATATAAAATTGCAGCATCTATGTGCTGGAAGAGATTTGACTCTGTCTTTTGTTGCCTTTCAGTAACAAAGATCAGAATTACTTCAGAGCCTTAATGGAGTTTACAATCCTCAGCAGCAATGAAAAGGCAGTTTTGTCTTCTTTGTACTCCTTAATATTTCTCCTTTCTCTTTCTTTCTTTCTTTCTTTCTTTCTTTCTTTCTTTCTTTCTTTCTTTCTTTCTTTCTTTCTTTCTTTCTTTCTTTCTTTCTTTCTTTCTTTCTTTCTTTCTCTTTTCCACCGGGAATTGAACTCAGGGCCTTGTGCTTGCCAGGTAGGCATTTACACCACTGAGCTACATACCCGGCCCTTTAATATTCCTTAATAGTTTCGTTGTTGTTGTTGTTCTTTATCATGAAATAATACATAGAGAAATATAAAAGAGTGCTAAAACATATGGAAAATAAAACTGAATCATAATCACATCAATTAGATCATTTAGAGCAGAAATATGAGAGCCTGACCCACTAAAAATACCATTGGGCCACCACTCAGACATCTGATTACCTAACTATTGATCTACCTATCTATCTGTTTCTTGTGTGTGCTTATCAATGACCTATTTTGTTTATCCTGGACTATTTTGTCTGATTTTTGCTCAAGAAAAATTGTGTCTTGATATATTATTTTCCTAATTATTGAGAAGTTTCTTTGTTTTTGCTGCCTCTTATATTTTACATCTGAAATAAACAGAGTCTTATTTGTCTCATCCTAATTTTAGTCCTGAAGAAAAATAGGGAAAAAGACACAGATGGGTGTGGCAGCAGTGGAATGTAATTCCAGCACTGTGGGAGGATTAGGCAGGAGAATTATACTTTTGTGCTCAGTCTGTGCAAAAATACCTTATCTGTAAATAAAACATGTTTTAAAAACTAGAGATACAGCTCAGTTTAAAGACCCTGAGTTCAATCCCTAGTCCAAAAAAGAAAGAAAGTGAGAGAGAGAGAGAGAGAGAGAAACGGAGAGAGAGAGAAACGGAGAGAAAGAGACAGAGACAGAGACAGAGAGAGAGAGAGAGAAAGGAAAGGGCTGATGAAATCCAAAAAGTTGATACAACACATAGATTGTGCTTCTGAAGAAATGAAATCATACACGAGCGTCATCTACATTCAAAGTTAAATGAAATTAGTAAACATATTTTAGAACATAATTTGCAGTATAAAACAATTCAATATATTCAATTATTTGTTGTTTTTTTATGTTGGTCCTTGAAAATTATAGATTCTTTAGTATAGCAGCTATTAATCACTAACAAGGTCAAGTTCAAGATCTGAACAATTTCCCTAGTTGTTTACCGGTCTCTCAGAATTCTGTGGGAGAAAAGCAAGCTCAAAACAGCCTAGTTACAGGTTTGCTGAGATCTGGAAAGTATACAATGGTGAAAAATAATCTCTATAGAATCTTATATTCATTAATTATAATCATTTACATTGATAAGATTCTCAATTCTCTTTTGTAAACTCAAGTCAATGCCACTTGTTTTTAATATGTTAAGAGTAATTAATCAAAACTTATTAACTATAATTAGTTTGAACAGAAAACATTTCTTGTTTGAATACATATTTCACAATCATATTGTTCATTCTAAAATGAATGTATGAGCATTTTACCTCTGCTTTAATTAGAAGGAGCCAGCAATTAAATTGTTCATTAAATTTTCTCACACTCCAAGGATCACAGGCAAGGAGCAGCAGCCACACATTCTTTTACTCTATTTTACCTGATGCTGTAGAGCATTATTTCAGGGTAGGAGTTTGCCAACTTTTTCTACAGTCCAGAGAACAAATACTTCAGACTTTGTGGGCTACAGAAGTTCTCTGTCTCACTCATTCACCTTGCCATTGTAGTTAAAAAACTATTTGTTTCTGTAAAGAAATGAAAGTGGCTGCATTCTAGCAAAAGTTTGTGAATTTCACAAAACTTGAATTTTTAAAATTTTTCAATGTCATAAAATGGTATTTACTGTTCTATTTTTTCCTATCTTAAAAATACAGTAACAGTGTCATTTTGAAACCTAAAATAAATTTGAAGCCTGATTTTATGTGCATAGTTGTAGATTTTTATTCTAGGACCCCATGAAGCATAGCATTTTGGATTTAAAACTATGGATCTAGCAATATGTAGCTATTGTCCTGGAAAACATTATCTCTGTTGTGGGTCATTTTTTAGACAAAGATCAATAATGCTCAATCTTGCATTTGAACACAAGTAAGGGGATATGCTATAGATGTTATTCCACACAAATGAAGTTTTATGATGAGTTGAGTTTTAAGAGAAAAGTCCCCCATTGATCCTATCTCTCAGTTTCATTATTTTTGCTTTTTATGTTGCTGCTTTTCCATTTTAATTCAGTTCTTCATTAGCACTTCTGTATAATCAACAATATTCAAAGATCCACAAGACGGGTCTTCGAGAGGCTGCTGTTGTAGAGATTCTAGCATCATCAACAGGAAGCATCCTAGAGGTTTTCCCACAGTAACCTGTGCACAGACACCAGAAGACCATAGTGCATTCAGAGACTGACATGGTCACAACAGCAGCTCTGCCACATCAGTATCTCTAGGCTCCACAGCTATGCAGACCATCCATGGCCAATGGCAAATGTCCATTATCTACCAGCAGTGTGATAATCAATGCCCTGATCTGCAGCTGATGAAAAATTCCTAGAGAAGAAAAGGGAAAAGGTCAGAGGTCTGAGCAGCCCACCAATTCTGCACACTCTGCTGACCCAGCAAATGCCCTACAGAGAGTGGGGGGCGGGGGGCAGGCAGCAGTGAAAGAATAAAGGCGTCTGATTTACTGTCTGTGCATTTCACCTTATCTATAAACACCAACAAATACGCGTCCTATATTTGTTCCCAATTATGTTTCAACAGCTTAGAAAATCGTCTTCGTACATGTGGTGGAAAAATAAATCAGAGCATTCAACCTGATGAAAGATAATAGTATTGAGGACAAGCTTTATTTTACCCTGGTTTTTGATGATTGGAATCACTGCAGTGGCTTTTATTTGCTCATATCTCTGGAGCAGTCTTTTAACAGTCTTTGACTCTCAAAGCTATCCTCCTTTCTATCAAGTTAAGGTTGGGACAAAATACTTAAATTCTAACTGGTCAGCCAGACTCAAACCATCACAATCAATCGCACGTGGCTGCTCCCTTCAGCCCAGCAGGTGGGAAGACTTTGCCATGATAGAATGAACATTTAGGTACTATTGAAAAAAACTCACCAGCCAGTATATCTCCTTCCTAACCAGAACGTTGCTGAGGTCATCTGCAGTGCTGAAAACACGTCCTTTAAGAAGAAGGGTTTTCAGGCCAGAAGCATTAGTTATGGAGGTTGTCATTGTTGTTGTTCCTCCCAAGGAAGAGAATAAAAGTGTAATCACACTAGCTTATGTGTAAATTTATGCTGTTTTTACTGGCTCTTAACCCTTTTCCTTCCAGGAATTGTTAAGTTCCTTTGCAGTCATATATCAGCACTTGGGTATGTTCTCACCAAGCCTGACCGTTTGACGGTAAGGCCCCTCAATAGACCAACAGAATAGAAGTTGGGTCATGTAACTGATTCCCTGGAAATTACGTAAGAGAAATAAATACCCTGGTATTTGCACAAAGGAAATTATGAAAGTCTCCTCCTGTATGAATTCATAGACTCTTAAATCCTGTGAGAAAAATTTTTCTTGGTCTCAAGTGGTCTTCAAAGTGCAGTTAGGAAAAAAATCTTTTGTAGGGGGAAGATCTCTGATTCCTGGATTGCATGAAATGGGCTGCAGTTCATGATGGCTTCTGATGGAGACTGGGAAGGAGATCAGGAGACAGAACAAGGCTCAGAGCATGTGTCTATGCATAGGTTTCTTTCTTCCACTTCCTCCTCCTCCTCCACCTCTTCCTCCTCCTCTTCTTCTTTATTTGATGACCAGTAAGTCAATTCAGAGAATTAGTTTGCATTATGAAAAGTAATTCTAAATGTGTTTTGATGGTTTACTTTTTCTTTCTTTTTTCAGATTGTAGAATATGGCTTTGTTTTATGGTATTAAGTTTGTCTGGTACTTTTTTGGCATGTTGGCATGTTGGTTTGATATGTGATGCTTTTTAATGGAGCTTGTGAAGCTGGAATCACACAAGTTTGAATTGCATGTCTAGAGATGAATACAATGCTTTTGATAGTAATATAATCCAAAGAACTCTGCTTGTATCACCAGCAATGGTTGCACCCTTTTGTAGGACTTGAAATAATATATTGACCATGGGGAGGGGATGTGGACAAAGTTAGCAATGAGTGTATGTGCAAAGAAGCCAGAAAACAGTGAAAATTAATATATGTGCTTATTCATTTGAAGAACATTGCTTCATTCTGAGCCCAGGATTAATGAGGTTTGCATTAATCTCCAGTATATTGCCTTCTTGATTCTAAATCTATGGACAACATCAACTATGAAATTTGTTGTGCTAAATGACACTGGGTTGATGCCCAAATTACTTCTTGAGGGGAATACAGAGAAAACTTTATCTGCAAGGAACTGTTTAAATGATAAATTCTTAGTTCACATTTCAAGAAATGTGGAATCTACTTAACTTCAGAGCTTTATAGGCTAATCTACTTTCCAAAAAGTCTGAGAGAGTTGACAAGATCCATTTTGAATTTTTCATGGTGTTAATGTATAAAAATGTGTGTGCAATGGATAGATAGATGAACTTCTAAACTTGCAAATTGTGAAATGTAAATCAATTTTCATCATCATAAATTCATGGAATTATGAAAGCCATTTGCTGCGAGGGGAAATCTTACAGCTGATCACAGCTCTTCTGTCATAATATATAACTGCAAATCAAAACTTAGCCTTATCTCCCCTCTTAGGAGTTTTGAATACTAGGTCAACAGATAAAACTCTCTCTCTCCCTCCCCCTCCCCCGTGTGTGTGTGTGTGTGTGTGTGTGTGTGTGTGTGTGTGTGTATGTGTGTATGCATGTTTGTATACACTTTGAATTTGTTTATTGCTTCCGTCACCTATTCTGTGGTAAGGAGGCACATATTTTATATGAAAATAATATTCCGCAAGTGCAATTGCTTTGGGGTTTGGTGTTTACCTGAATGGCATATATTATTATTTTTCAAGGTTTTTTGAAAGTACTCTTGCACATGATTTCAAATACATAAAAAGTTTAATCTTATTAAACATGAAAGCAAACACACCTAATTGATGTTCTTTCATGTTGCTCATATTTAAGTTTACAAGCAGGGAAGCAACAATCAGACTGCCAAAAGGCATTATTTATAGTGCCAATTCCTGCCTTGCTGAAGCTTGGTGACTCAGTTATGCAAACCATACAAAAGAATAGACTTGAGTAGAAAAGCTAGTTTTGAAATGAAATCTTTGCTGATAACAAGATCAGAAGCTTAAAATACTGGTAAAAGAATTTAAGTCCATTTTGTAAATTCAGAGATTATTACTAAACCTATAGATAATTTCTAAAACACTGATGCATGGTGATGATTCATTTAAATTCTATAACTCTTAAATGAATAAGTTATAGCTTAAATCCAAATGCAGAAGAAGGAATTTATGGATTTTGTCTTAATAAGTATATTAAAATATTTAAACACCTATGAGTATGATATAATCTGAACAGTATATGATGTTATCCTAACAGTATATGATGCTATCATTCATCACTAATGTTACTGGTGGCAGTTGGCTACAACATTTTATTTTTGTGCTATTTCAATGCAAGTTTTATTTATTTGTAACATACACAGGGCTTTGAATATTAGAATATAAATTTATCAAAAGACCGAAATATTTATCAGTTGAAGATATATGCTATGGAGTGGAATTTGGAAAATAACAAGGGAAATATTCAGTCAAATCCACAGATGGTGATATTTAAGTGGAAAACTTGCTCACTAAAGAAAAAAATAAACATAGAAATTGAGTTTACTGTTGGAGAAAGGGCACTGTACAAAGAGGGGGAAAAAGTCTCTATTTGTTAGAGTTACTGAAGAAGAAATTTAGGGGGAACTTTTAGAGCAGAGATGCTGTGGAAAATTGTATTTTACAGAATGCAGAGAGGAAGTATTAGATTTGAAATCAGTTAAGTCTAGAATTTGTATCTACAGCATCCATACTCGTGGAGAGTTTTACTGGAATACAATTTATATTCAATATCTAGTTTTAATTCAGATTGGCATTTTGAGATCTTATTAAGCAAAAAACAATAAAAGATAAGAAGGTAGGGCTGCAGCTAGAGGAGTTGGAAAAAATAATGCCTATCAGATTAATGCTCCAACTACGCTGGTTGCATTTCTTTTCCTTCTGGTTTTCATAGCACAGTTCTACTCGTGTGAGGAAGAAAATGTCAACTCATCATTTTTGTGTTAAGAGTCTAAAATCTGACGCAGATTTAATGTTCACTCCTAATATCTATGTAAGCAATTCATGAATTTAGTAAAATTTGATGATCAACAGGGAAACACTTTACTTTTTTTCCTTAGTCTTTGCTTCCAGATATATCTATAATATGTTCCCAAGCTCTTCGGATACTTACTACTTCATTTAGAATTATCATATTAATCAGGTTCTGTAATAGACTTCTATGTTATTTAAGGAGCTATGGTATATCGTAGTTTATTCTAAGTTATTTAATCACCTGTTTTCATCACTATTACTAGCAGCAGCAGCAACAGTACAAATAACACTGTTTAGGTGATCACTATGTCCTAGGAATTTTACATGGATGAATTCACATCCTTGTAGCAACAGTTTTCAGAGAGTAAACAGCATATCAAGTTTGCAAATATAGAACAGGGTGATTCAGTTTTGAACCTTGCACAGTGAACAATACTACTTGTTGGTACTAGCATCATCAAATTTAGAATATGCTTGAAATTTCATATGTTGGCATTTAATATGAAAGGACTGTAATTGAAACAGTTTTAAAGATATTATAACCTTTGACTTAATAATTCCACATTTAGAAATAGAGTCTAAGAAAAGTGTAAAAGGTAAAGAAAAACACTAATCTATACATATGGCTAATGTAACTCTAGAAAAATGAAAATCAAAAAATGCACATAAAGATACAAGGATATGTGATTATCATTCTTCTATATGATAGAGATGTATGTTCATTAAAATGGATGTTTTCAAGTGTTAATTTCATGCCAAATACTTTCACACATATATGATATCAAAATATATGACACCATTGATTTTAAACTTAGAAAACACAAATGACTTAAAAATAGAAGCAGAAATACAGAGAATAGAAGAGATATATCAAATTATTTATAATGGTTGCCTCCAAATGATAAGAATTTGGATTTATTTTATTTTCTACGTTTCCCCACACTGTTCTCACTTTAAAATTGCTAAATCATCCAATTTTCACAATGAGTCTACATCTCTTTGGCTCAAAGAACCTAAAATATACTTTTAAAAAATCTTACAAAGTGTTGAAATCTATATCCCAAAATCTAAAGGGCCAGGTATATAGCCTTTCTTGCACAAATATTGCTACAATTATGCTGACATTGTTCAAAAGATGTCTTTGATTTTCTTTGCAGCTTATGAAATATTTCTTAATTATCTATATATAGCACCTAGGTTTGGCTCTCTAAAGTCTCTTTGGTTTCTGTTATCATAGTTGTTGTTAGTTTTGGA